AAAAAAAAAAAAAAAAAAAAAGAAATGCATGCAGAAGGACTGGCCACGTGCCTGAGCCAAGTTGCTTAGGGAGGGAGCGTAGACACAGTGGGGCGTCAGCAGAGCCGGCCGCGGGAGGCCTCGGCAGCATCGTCTTCGCCGCACCGTCCACATCACGCGCGTGTGAACCGCGACGCTGACAGTGGCCCCGAGAGGTTGTGCAGATTGACTGAAAGCCAACCTCAGAGAGAGAGGGCCTAGGCGGGGAGGAGGAAAGCCTTCCTGGGAGAGGCGAGTGTGAGGTCGGCGTTTGCTGAGGTGAAGCGGAGAAACAGGACGTGAGCCCTGGAAAAGGAAGGAATGCCAGGGGCAAAGATGCAGAAAGGGGATGGAGGCACGGGACGGGCGGGACAGCTTGTTCTTCTGCAAGGCTTACTCCTGGTGGCCACCACCAGGGGGCGCCCCGGGCACCCTCCCCACCGCCGCTTCCCCCAAGGCCCTGGGGAGCAGCCCCTGGGGTCCGCCTTCCCCGGGCCGTCTAGAACCGCAGTCGTCTAGGACCGCGCCAGGCCGGGATACTGTCCTGGGCAGAGGGCACAGCCCGGGTGCTAGCGCCCTCCGCACAGTTGTGGGTGCCAGGCACGCACTGCCTCCCTCAAAGTGGCCCTAGTGGGACTCTTACCGCTGTGGTGTGCATAAAACATCACTATAAACCGGGCGCCATGGCTCACGCTTGTAATCCCAGCACTTTGGAAGGCCAAGGCGGGCGGATCACGAGGTCGGGAGTTCGAGATCAGTCTGGCCAACACAGTGAAACCCCGTCTCTAAAACTAAAAAAAAAAATTAGCCAGGCCTAGCGGCGCATGCATCTAACCCCAGCTACTGGGAAGACTGGGCCAGGAGAATCGCTTGAACCCGGGAGGGGGAGGTTGCGGTGAGCCGAGATTGCGCCATTGCACTCCAGCCTGGGCAACAAGAGCAGGACTCCGTCTCAAAAACAAACAAAAAATCACTGTATAATGTATATTCACAGCATATAATGTATATTCACAGAATTTACAATGAGTCCTCATTAACAACCTGCAGAGCCCCCAAATGTGCCCTTCCAGGTCTCCCCCAGGTCAGCACAGTTCTGAGTTTTATGGTAATCGCTTCCTCGTCTTTCTCTGGGATTTACTACCCTGTACACTGCCCCAAACAGTCTGTGCACATTTTGTCTGGATTTGTTGTTATTAAGGTAAATGGACTCACGCTGCCGTGTCCGGCTGAGTCTCATGCAGTTGCTGGAGCCGAAGCTTCTTCACTCTTGTTCACTGCTGGATAGTGAAGAGTACACTTGGGGTTATTATGAGCACTGCTATTATGAGCACTGTTGGGGTTATTATGAGTACTATAATGCACAGATTCTGCTGTAGCAGGGACTGCCAGGTCATGGAGTGGCGGACCCAACACTGGACCTGGCCACGTGGTACCTAAGGAAGGAAAGCTGGGTACAGGCCTTTTGTTTTTTTGTTTTTCTTTTTTTTCAGATGGAGTCTCTCTCTGTTGCCCAGGCTGGAGTGCAGTGGTGCGATCTCAGCTCACTGCAACCTCCGTCTCCCAGGTTCAATCAATTCTCCTGCCTCAGCCTCCCCAGTAGCTGGGATTAACAGGCACCCACCACCATGCCTGGCTAATTTTTATATTTTATAAAAATTATATTTTATAAAAATATTTTATATTGGCCGGGCGCGGTGGCTCAAGCCTGTAATCCCAGCACTGTGGGAGGCCGAGGCGGGTGGATCATGAGGTCAAGAAATCGAGACCATCCTGGTCAACATGGTGAAACCCCGTCTCTACTAAAATATACAAAAAATTAGCTGGGCATGGTGGTGTGTGCCTGTAATCCCAGCGACTCAGGAGGCTGGGGCAGGAGAATTGCCTGAACCCGGGAGGCGGAGGTTGCGGTGAGCCAAGATCGCGCCATTGCACTCCAGCCTGGGTAACAAGAGCGAAACTCCGTCTCAAAAAAAAAATATATATATATATTTTATATTATAGAGACGGGGTTTCACCATGTTGGCCAGACTGGTCTTCAACTCCAGATCTCAGGGGATCCGCCTGCTTTGGCCTCCCAACGTGTTGGGATTAAAGGCATGAGCCACCTTGGTGAGCCACTTTTTCACTTCTCTTTTTGACAATGATGACAGCTTCAGAAAACTTGCAAGAAAAGTACAAACAACACCCACATACCCTTTATTTTGATTCATTGACAGTTAATACTTTGTAATATGTTTACTCCCTTTCTCTCTCTCTCTCTCTCACCACACACACACACACACACACACACACACACACACACACACACACATTTTCTGAACCATTAGAGAGTAAGTTACATAAGTCCCTTTACCCTTAAATATTTCAACATGTATCTCCTAAGGAAACTGACATTTCTTACACAACCACAATACAGTTACCAAATTCAGGCCTGGTGACAGTGATGCAATGCTATTATTTACTGTACAGTCCACTTTTCAAATGTCCCTGATTATCCCAATTTGCTGGGACCTTGCTTCACATCTGGTGTC